TTCAGGAAGGACATTGAGGGGCTGGAGCGGGTCCAGAGAAGAGCAACGAGGCTGGTGAAGGGACTTGAGCACAAGTCCTATGAGGAGAGGCTGAGGGAGCTGGGGTTGTTTAGTCTGGAGAAGAGAAGGCTTAGAGGTGACCTCATCACTCTCTTCAACTACCTGAAGGGAGGTTATAGCCAGGTGGGGTTTGGTCTCTTCTCTCAGGCAACCGACAACAGGACAAGGGGACATGGGCTCAAGCTCTGCCAGGGGAGGTTTAGGTTAGATGTTAGGAAGAAATTCTTTACAGAGAGGGTAATCAAGCATTGGAACAGCCTACCCAGAGAGGTGGTGAATTCACCATCCCTGGAGGTTTTTAAGCAGAGATTGGATGTGGCCCTTAGTGCCGTGATATAGTAATTGGAGTTGGATCAGGGGTTGGACTTGATGATCTTGGAGGTCTTTTCCAACCCAATCTATTCTATGATTCTATGATACATTTGTAAAATGATCACAGAAAACTCTCATAAAAACACAAAGCTGACAGACCATATTCAAACATCTAAAACAATACTGGACAACTGACTCAAGAATTCCTAAAAGTACTCAGTGACCTATTTCCATTATTTCCAGTATTTCATTACTTATTGTATCAGCTTATATATCTCTCTCCAAAACCTTGCAATCAACATTATTTTCCTGACATCCTTATGATCACATTTTTGAAAACCATTAAACCTGCTGAGTGGCAGATACAGCATTTGCATCCTCCCCTAAAGAGGGCAGGGAAGGGGTACACCCCAAAGGCATTTGTAGCTTTTCAAATCGATCACCATCAGCCATAGTGCTTGATGAAAGTAAAAGAATGCTTACCTAAAATAGCTCTGAAAAACAAACGCTGCCTTCCTAAAAGAATTACAGCTACTGATCAGTAAGAATCCTCCTCAGCTCAGGTTTGCTTCAGAATCTGTCTTTAATCCTCAGGCACCTAATGCAGAGCTGACCCTCAGTAAGTTCACACAGAGTCAATTGGTTTCCTCTTCTTACAGGTTTTCACAGACACCTAGAACTACCCACTTTGCAATTTGTGGGGTTACTTTAACCCTGACAGCCTGTATTAATTATGTGCCCCATAAGAGCTTGGCTTCCTACTAAGAAATCAAAGGACATGACAGAATCAGAAGATGGGTAACACTTCTTTCTCATCTGCCGCTATTAAAGATTCCCTGCTATCACACAGAGAATACAAAACAGATTTGACATAATTACCATGCATGCGGTTTCGGGATTTTATTTATTTTTAATCTACTTAATTTCATAAGAAATTGGCAAAACTTTATAAAATGCGTAGTTGTTTCAGTAATAGGACAGACAAGCTCTCTTCATGCCAAGAGTCTAAATACATAACCTAAACAAACAAGCAAGGTGCAAATGGGGAGCAAAATGTCTAGACTGGATGACACCCACCCACCTGTCATCTTTAGCACTTTTCATCACAAATCTTGCAGTCACAGAAGGATGGCTTTTATGATCTGCTCCAACAAACCTACTTTTTGATACCTTAACATTTAAGAGGCCTTCAAAAGTGAGGCAACGATGGAGCAGTTTGAGTATTTTAGTGCTTGAGTAAGGAAAAAGTGAACTAGATACTAACACCATCTAGTGGCACCTTGCAAGGCTAAATGTGACTAACACAGACTTTTGGCTTACTGAACTTGAAAAACAGCAAGCATTAATTGGATGACATAACCCTGAAAAGAAAACTTTAAAACAACCCAACATTCTTCTGTGTAAATCAATATGTGTTTTCTTAAACAGAATTATTTTTAATTTTTAAGCAAGCACTAGCTGATGTGAAAACTAATAGTAAGATAGAAAATTATTGAAGAACTGCACAATGGAAGCATGAAAAAGGGCTCATCTTTTGCTTTAAATCTGACTACTTCCAGGAAAAAAAATCAATCTTCATTAAACACTTAGGAGATGCACAGACCGTAGAAACAGCTTATTACACAGTGCAACGTTTACCCACACAGTGTTTTAACCAAGCAAGATGAACACTGCTGAGACATAAAATTCAAGAAGTCAAAATGTGAGGAAATTCCAAGGCTGACTCAATAGAACTGACTTCACAGGGCACAAAACTGGCTGGACATCAGGGCCCAGACAGCGGCGTGGAATGGAGTTACATCCAGCCGGCAGCTGCCACCAGTGGTGTTCCTTCCCCAGGA